CCAAACTGGATCTCTCTTTGGCTTTTAGTTCAGAGTGAACTTTGGCCAATTGCTCTCTGCTGCAACTCATCTTGTCTTGAAAAGTTGATTTTGGACTATGATCTAGCTTTAAACTTTTTCCTTCCTCTGCTTGGCCCTTTGGCTGGACCAATAAAGAGCTTTCTCCACTTTCTTTCTGATCTTTCTGGTACTGAGTGTACCTTTGTTCGATCTTCCTCTTTTGGGATTTAGAGATCACTGGAACCATTCTGGTTCTTTTGTTTTTGGATGCTTTAGTAACATCCAATTATTTGGAGCAACCAAAGGGGGTTTAACCATCCTGCACTGATCTCAGACAATATTTCTTTGGGTAGGTATTTCCCTAGGTTTGTTCTGCATCACAAACCAATCTGGAACTCTAGGTACCCATGAACCTACCAACCCAGTTGTCGAACTACCTCTTTCTTCCTTCGAAGCCAATTTCGAAGTTGGCTGTGAGGACCACTGCTTGGCTTTAACCCCTTGTTTTGGGCCTAGTTTAGGCCTTCCATGAAGGTGGCCATTTTCCTTTTTGTATGAGGCTGGTCTAGGGGGCCAATCTTTGGCTTTGATCCCATGATTCGAACCCACTTCTAGTCTCCTCTCAGGGTGTTTGCCCTCCATTCTGTAATAGTTGAGTCGTCTAAATTCGTGTAGAGGTCTCTTCCCTTTGGACTGCATTCTCGTGGCTGCTGGTTCAGTGATGAATGACTGTTGTCTAGTACCAGTTGGATATGGTCTCTTATTATAGGCACTGGTTGGTTTAGGACGCCTCTACACATCCTTGTAATGTTGCTTCCCATCAATCGGAAGCTCTTTCAACCACTTGTGGCTCAACCTATACTTGGGACACATTCTTTGCACGACAGCCGCTTCTAAAGAATCATCATCTAGTGCCTCTTCATCAGAGTCTTTCTTTTGACCTGCAAAGCCTTACCCAACAGCTGGTAAACTTCTAGCATCTGTTTTGACAGTAGTTTGGCTAGCAACATACATTTGTACATTGACCTCTTCTAATTATTTCAAGGACAAGTTCTGGAAGTCTGGTACGATAACATTGGCTGCCATTTCTCGAATTTCTGGAAATGGATTAGTGTCAATCCCCATGGCCTTTTCTGCTTTAGTTGGGAATTTTAAACTCCCTTTTTGAATCTGTTCTTAGATCCTGTCTCGAAAAATAATGCAGTTTTTAGTTGAGTAAGACCAAGAATTATGCCATTTACAATACACTTTTCCTAAGTTCCTCTGGAGATGGATTTTGACTCCTTTAGGTAACTTCAAAAAGTTTACCGCAAGCAAATGATCAAAAATGTCATCTGCCTTTGTTAAATTGAAAGAGTATATCCTATGAAAGTCTTTCTTTTTGAACTGCTGGTCTATTGTTGTGTCTTTATGAATTAATGTTTTACAGATCACAGGTTCTTTTCTCACAATCTCTACTGCACCAATTTCATAATTAGGATCTCTATAATACGTCTTGTTTGATGCATTACTTCGATCTTGCTCTTCCTCTAGTAATGCCTCATACCTAGACACCTTATAGGTTAGTTCCACCAAGTCTCTAAACTCAGTTGAGTCAAACTTCTTTCGAAGCCTAAACTCGAGACCATTTTGAGCTAGCCTCACAAATTCAGGTTCTGGTAAGATGATCCTATATTTGTTTCGTGCTCTTTTGAATCTGGCAATAAACTGAGTAGCCTTCTCATCAGGCCTTTGACTCAATTTTGCCAAGTCTGCCATGGACACTTCTGGCTCTGTTTGGAAGAATTGGGCATGAAATGCCTCCTTCAGTTGTTGCCAAGTTTGGATAGAGCTAGGTGTAAGGTTAATATACCATACAAAGGCTCCCCCAGTTAGAGAATTTGGGAATAATCTTAACTTCATATCGTCATTATTGGTAAATTTACCGCATTGAGCCGCGAACCTAGCAATATGTTCAACCGTTGACTGGTTTCTATTCCCATAAAAAAGGACAAAGTCTGGTATCCTGAAACCTCTTGGGTATTCATGTACCCTATCTACCCATTCTGGGTACGGTTTCCTGTACACAAGAGTCTGAATCCCTCGAGCCATTGGTCCACACATCTCTCTAACAATATCAACAATTTGGTCCCTAAGGACCACATTTTGTGCCTCTTGAACCACCACTAGAGGAACAAACACAGGATTTGGTGGACAACCCTATGTCTGGGGTCCTCTTGGTCCATAGGGTGGTATGTTTGGGACTGGTTGTCCTTGTGGTGCTGGCTACTGTTGAGGGTATGGGTGATCCCTTCGAGCCTATCCTGCAAAAGGACCTGCAAAAGGTGCTGGAACAGGTGTTGTGTCTCTTCTAATTGCAAGAAACCCTTCTAACCCCCCGGGTATAAATTTGAACAAAGGATTAGTGAACCCCCTCGTACCAGGTATGGCTTCGAACATGGGATTTGGAAACATCCTTACGCCATTTTCCTGTGTTGGACCAGATCCACCAATTTGCATGGCTTCACTGTTGAGTAAGGAGGCATTTTGATTTGCCACAGGCCTCGAAAGAGGCTCATACCAAGACTGAGGTGATGGTCTTTCATTGTTTTGGTTACTAGTTTGACCATTAGTATGTCCATTACTCTGCATACGCTGTTTATCTCTAGCCAATCTTTGCTAAGGGACATTTGAATTTTTCTCTATATCTCTTGCGTTAGTTGGTTGATGAGTGTTCATTCGATCCAAAAAGGATGTTGCCCATCTTTCCATTGTGTTCATTAACTGCTGTCCCATAGCATCTACTAGGCTACCTCATGGGTTCATTGGCTGAGTAGATGGAATAGTGGGTGGTCCAATTCCTTAGCCTCATCCAATATTATGAATATATGGTACTTGTTCCGAAGTGCTGGTATGTTCGACCATAAGTTCTGATAAAATAGGCGTTTCCACAGGATGTGTTATCACATTATCCTCTGGATTAGGCATTTCTACCTCTCCTTCCACGCCTTCTTCCAAACGTTCATTTTCTCCTTGTCTCCTACGTCTAGCCATTTCAATTATCACTGGGCGTGCCAAAAATATATGTTGGCTTTTTGGCTTTTGAAGGTTATTTTTGTAATTATGAGCATGCCAGCAAAAATCAATCAGTCCTTACAGAATATTAATTGCCAACCAATTATCAGACGATTGCGTTTTAGTTCTTTCAGCCTCGATGAAGAGGACTTTTACTGGTGGCTTTGTTTAAGAGAATTAAGCAAACGATGATTAAATGAAGAACAATTGTAGTATTTCATTAAGCAAAATGAAAGACTTACAAAGATCCAAATCAGCCTCTTAGAGGTTTACATCAACAAGCTACTTGAAAATTACTTCTATGAACGAAATGCAGTGTAGGAATTTGAAGTATTGAAATGTAAAAAACAAGAAATGTAAAACTGGAAAGGAAATAAAGTAGAATAAAACTGATTTTTTTTATCTGAGTCTGGGGGTACTTTCTGGGCCCTTCTCTGCTATTTATACTTCTCACTGAAAACCATCGAACTGCACTTCTAACCGTTCCATGATCGCTGATTATGTTGTCTTATAGTTAGCTCTACTATGCCAATATCTGCAGCTAGGCTTCCCTCCTAATTTTGAATTTAAATACAAGTAACCATTGAAACCACATCATTTTGCATCTCTTTACTGATCTAGTGCTACGCAGATCTTATAAAAACTAATATTAACTACCACGTGTATGATTACGATCGAAGGTTTGAATCGTTTTCCCGCATTGCCCTTATCTTGTCACGTGTCGAATCGTGATTGGCTTATACAAAATATATACCCAACAATATGATAAAAGTAATAAAAGTAAGATTTAATTTTGTGTGTTAATATTTGTTAATTTAGAAAATGAAATGTTGTTGAAATCGTATAAAGTGCGGGTTAAGATATTTGTTATGTAGATGTGGGATTTACTTTACTATCTCTCTCTCACTGGGGCAAATAAAAAAAATTCTAATTTATGTTGTAAATTAATGTATGACACTAACAAGGGAAATTTTATTTTACACACTTATTTATTTCAGTGCGTATGCTTATTAATTTAGTTATTGACCATACATTTTGAAAACTCCATTGAAGATCCTCCATTGCATTATTGAAGGTGAGTATGTTCCATCCATTTTTAAATCTTTTGTGTCATCTATTTACAATCTATTTTGTATTTGCACTCCATTAAAGACACTCGTTTTTTTCTTCGAATATTTCTAATTTTGTACATTCAGCACTGATTTACCGAATAAAAAGCAATAATTCGGCTATTAACTTCCGAAATATTAACATATTTTCAGAACTTGATTTCTGAATTTAATTGTTTAATTCAAAAGTTGAGTTTCGAATTTTGTATAATTGCAATATGCCAATCCTTTACTTGCCTTGTGGTGTCAAGCTGGTAACAATTTTACTGATTGTTTTTCCAAAAATTTCAGGTGCACTTTCCTTGAATGATGATGATCAAAATGTTTCTCGACACTGTTTTCTCTTTAAATCAATATAAATGATCAATAATATTTTGAATGGTGATCTAAAAGTCTCAAAACTTGAGAACATATCTAGACTATATCGAAATGAAATCAAAAGTCTTTCTTTTGTTACTTCAACTGGTTAAGGCAAACCCACTGTAGATATTGTTAGGGCTATCTAGAAACAATGGAAGTGGGAAACAATAGATAAATTAGGGATTAGGTCTCTTTTTTGTTTTTTCTTAAAAAATGTGCCTGGAGATTTAAAAAAATAAAAATAAATAGTAAGTGTACAAAGAAAATTTGAATAATATTAAAGGTGTAATTAAATATTCATTATGATCATTTTACTTTAGAATAACTATTATTAAAATAATATTTCATTAAGTGTGTACGAAAATAAATGTGGAAATAAAATTTCCCCTCTACCCTAGCAGTTAGAGCGGATTTGAGTGGTATGGCCTTGAATTTTCGCAAAATATACACCGAAGATCCAATTGAGTGAAGCTGATGGAAATACAAGCAGGGCTCTTCTCAGGGCTCGTCTCAGCAAATGCACATTCTCCATTCAACACTACAGTACAGCTGAGTTAATCGAACCGAACTCCAAAGGTAGTGAACATCAATTAATTACCGACACTAATTCAATCAAAACATATGTTATCGTACATGCCTGTCTGTCGTGACAACAAAAATAAAGAATGAACAATTTGAAAATCTAACAATGCAAAAAGTATACAGAGCGGCACTACAAACAAACAGCCCCTACAGAAGAATCCCTGCTATTTTCTGAACTCTTTCCTCCATGGCTGAGACAAACAACTTTACGTCAATTTGAGTCTATATGACTTTGCCTGAAAGATTCATATGGCAATTCTTTCCCCCAAGTACATAAATAAGCTACAAATATGACCGTGAAGACAGTGAATTGCGTTATCTGGGAGCAGAGAACCAACATGATATATATGGTCAGCTACAACTGATTATTGAGCTTCTAGAGCTAGTCTTGAAGGCTGTGGTCAATGTAGCTTCTCATCCCAGGCTTAAATCCATGGAAAAAATATATATTTCTTCAACACTACGAGACATAACAGGAAAATTAACTCACCTGTTCTCCAATCAAATCAAGACCAACAACTAGGAAAGTGATCCCTTGAAACAATAGGAAGTAGAAGTGAATCCCCTGCGCAGACAACAAGCTTCTCACCGAGGCACTCAATAAAATAAACGCGAGAGCAAGTTCCTTCCTGTACAAAAGATTTCTTCTACCCTTCCCAGATTTCTTAGTCATCTCTAATTTATTAAGCTCGGCAAGACCTGATTCTGAGGAGGATCTGTTACGTTGCACTAGAGGTTCAGACTCATTTTCCATAACGGCAACTAGGTCTGCTTCTGATGATCTGCCCAACTTCTTAGTAACTATCCACTCATAAGAACTTCCAAATTTAAAGAGTCCTGAAATCATGGCATTAAATTTGGTCACAGACATAGTGTTCTCAAATAGAAGGAAGGGCACAATGAATGGGAATGACCGTGGTGCTGGAAGGATATTCAAGACGGACATGATTCCAGGGACATAACAAACTACCCAAGCAGGTAACTGAGCTTCCGGCAGGAACATGCTCAGAGGAAGAATAATGCAGAAGAGAGTGAATGAATAGAAAGGCAGGATAAGCTTCCGAAGGAGGAAGAAAAGAAATATCATATTGGCTTTCTTGACCACACTCACCTGAAATGTCACATAAAGATTATATTAAATATATATATATAAACAAACAGTTGAAACAAAATTACATGATGTCTACAAGGCTATAAATTGTTAGTTGCTTATTTTTAGGAATTCTTGATATTATTCTTGATTGTGTGTTTGCACAATCACTTCCCTCGCTTACATGGAGTTGAGGAGATTCAGTCAACATTTCATGCTCGAGACAACTTCAGTTACACTATGTTTGAACAAATTTGCACATTTACTAATTAGGCATTCAAAAATCCATGTAACATAGAATCTTAGGAAATCAGTGAGCTTGGCAAAATTGTAACGTGTTACTCTCTACCACTCCTTTGAATTAATCTCACTATCGGCTTTGTTGCCACAGGTATCTAGTTGTTTCTTCAATGGGATTTCATGGTTCAAGTCTTTAAAATCTGCAACTAGGTTGAAGGGTTGAGTGAAAGCCAGGTGAATATAAGCATTGCATGGAAAGCATCACAGGAAAGACACCTCCCATGGATAGGGCTGTTCAAAAAAACCAGTCAAACTTGTAAATCGAACCAATCCGGTCCAAACTGCCGGTTTGGTCTAGTTTTTATTAGACTTAGTTTTGGCTCTGATTTCGAAAATGATCTAAGCTTTCATGTAGAAATCCAGCTTCTATTGAACTAGCTTAGCTACCATTGCCAGAAAGATGAAGACAAAAGGTGCGAAGCGAGTCTTTAAGCCCTAGGAATGAAAGATCCCAAGATCCGTTCGAAGCGGTCTATTTCCTTGTTCCAAGGCTTTGGTTATGGTTGTGAACCGAACCGAACCGAACCGAACCGAACCATTATATATTTATTTAGTATTTTTTAATATTTTTGTATCTAAAAATAAGAATATGGAAGTTACTCGTGAGATTTAAACACTAGTCTTGATTGTAAAATCGCCAAACTCTAACCAACTTAACTAAATTAATTGTTGTTAGTATGCTTATTATTATAAATATATATCACATTTCTTATTATATAAAATTTCCATAACTGTACAAATTGACAAATTCTAACCTACTTAACTAAATTAATAGTTGTTAGTATGTTCTACTATTATAAAATATATGTCATATATTTTATTATATAATTTTTCCATAAATGTAGAACCAAACCGAACTGAACTAGTTTCTATGGTTCAATTACATAAGTTTAACAGTTCAGTTATGGTTCCAATATTTCTGGAAAGTTAGGGACTGGTTCGGTTCTTGGTTTACTAAAAAACTAGACCAATCCAATCCGTGAACAACCATGGGAATATAAGCATTTCTGGGTTAAATGATATACATATTTGCCTATACTTCCTAGTATAGTCTCATTATTGGGAAAATATTTTATCATACGCATTTCTTTATTATCATAGAAAACAATGGAGCTTATTTATGAGTTCACCACAGAATCTTATCCTTGTTAAATTCATTACTGAATAAGTTCCAAATTCAACTAATAATTAGTTTTCTACGCTACTTTTTTCATAAGCAAAATTGCAATAAACGTTATTATCAGATAAACTTTCCAAACCTTTGAATGGATTATGTCCATGAAACATAAGCGGAACAATTGCATTGGACCTGAATGCCAGCGATATTGCTGCTTCTTGTATGCTGCATAGGACTCTGGCAATTCACAAAGGCACTGCAAAAATAGACACAGGTGAACACCAGAATACCATCCAATCTCAAGAGTACGTAGAAATTTTCAAAATGTTGATAAATAGCAAACCTTAACATCATTCAGATATATAAATTTCCATCCACAAAGGTGAGCACGAACAGCAACATCCATGTCCTCAACAGTAGTTCGTTCCAACCAGCCACCAGATTCCTCGAGGGCCTTGATTCTCCATACACCAGCAGTTCCATTGAAACCAAAGAAGTTTATGAACACTCCATTGACTTGTTGTTCAACCTCAAAGTGGAATGATAAGTTTATATTTTGTAATCTTGTAAGCAAGTTCTCGTCCTTGTTGACAAAGGCCCATCTTGTTTGCACCAATGCAAGATCATCATTTCCCTTGAGAGAGAGAGAGAGAGAGAGAGAACAATTTAGTAACAGAAGAAGACTGGTAATTTCTAAATCCTCTTTCTTTTTTTTTTGACTGGCACAGAGGTGTTTGGATCAAAGCCCGACTAATCCCCAGGGGTGCACAGGCTTTTGGTAAAGAGTTTCCCGCAAGTGTACCATGGTTAATTCAACCAATCCAATGGCTCCAAGGAATTGTTAGCACCTGAGAGGTTTCAATCCCTGAACTTTGGAGGGAGTACACCTCCAAAACCCAAGGCCTTGCCAATACATCAACCCCTTGGGGTTTTAGTAATTTCTAAATCTTGAAGACCCAATGTTTTAAATCAGCATAAGAAAGTAAAAAAATCTGTATATAACAGGTATGTATTTGTGCATGTATAGATCCAATTAACTTGATAAAAGCATGAGATACGGTCTGGAAAATATTTTTGGCTTTGGTGAGTATGGGAAAAAAGACAAGGCCAGTAGTATATACCAGACATCATTAAAGACCTGTTCAAGGGAGAGAACTAGTGTGGAACGGTGAAAAACAGAAATAATAGAGTTTTAGATTAATTTAGCTTCCATAAAATATCAAATTTGGATCAGCGTGTGTTTTAATGATTTGTAAACCAATTGTGGATTTGTTAAGAATAAGTCACTATATTAGTATATCATATTCATAGTAACATAATCATGTAAGAAGGATCAAGAAAACCACCATGTATTGAAATTACTGGAATTATGGTAAATATGTTTTTTACTCAACAAAGGCAAGGTTCCATTCAGGGTCAGGAATAGATGGTCTCTACAACATTAATAAGATAGAGCAAGACAAAATAACAAATAGAGCAAGACAAAATAACAAGCAGAGCTGCGCACATGTGTTTTTCGATGTGCATACAAATCAAGGATATCTGCATGCAATATAAATTTCACCTACAAAGGTGTCATGTCCAAGTTGGACATGTGTCATACATCAAAACTTTCCAAGACGTGTTGGATACAAGCTCAAAACGTGTCATTGTTTTTAAAATATTTTAGACCTAGACAAGCTTTGGACACTTGGGAGACACACATGTCAATCACTTGAACACACATGAAACATATTATAAATTTGAACAAAATAACTTGCAAGTTATAAAGATAAAAGAAAAAGAATGTAAATTTATATCTATTAATACTTCCTCCTTTAAACTCTAGGAATTAATGTTATGTTGTATTTCTTTTTATTTTTGAATGAAATATTCATATTTATATATAATATTATAGATATACAAAACTATATATTTTGCGTGTGTCCCTCACATGTTGCGTCCTATATTTCTAAAATTATCATGTTGTTGTATCCATGTCGTGTAGAATGCCACAAACTTTGTTGATATAAGCCAAATGATACTTCAGAAGAATATAAACCAACTTACACATCTTTTCCCTTTAATTTTTTGGACATTTTCCAACACATCCTTTACCACAGTAGATGGACTGAATTACAGGACAAAAAACTACACAGTTACTATCCTCTTGTCCACATCAGAAATCAATTCATGACTATTCTATTTAAGAAATTTGTGTCTGTACAAATACAAGCATTAATACAATATAGGCATACCTAACTTTTTGATAGACAGCTTCTTAATGCCTAACCTTTTCTTTATTTTAAGGAGAAAACAACGTTGATTTTAAAACCTGCTAAATCCTATAGATTGCTCCAAACAAATGGTAAACTTACCTTAAAATAAGGAATAGTTTTCTTCAAGAAATCTGGTGATGGTTGAAAATCTGCATCAAAGATTGCCACAAACTCATAATCTTTGACATAATCGCAACTCATTGCAGATTTAAGATTTCCAGCCTTATAGCCAGTCCGGATAAGACGATGTCTATACAATATGCGCACACCCCTCTGCTGCCATTTCTGCACTTCTGCTTGGATGAGGACTTGAACATCCAAATCATCAGAATCATCTAAAATTTGTACAAGCATTCTCTCCCTTGGCCAGTCCTGAACACATACTGATGCAATGGATTGTTGGTAAACCTGTAGGCCACCCCAATTAAGGTATTTAGAGTCACTGAAAAAGAAATTCAAAACTGTATAAGGAGAAACTGCAAGTTACAGAGAGAGAGAGAGAGAGAGAGAGAGAGAGAGAGAGAATACATAACTGGAAGAGTTGAGAGAAAAGAATGAAACAGAATAATATGCTCAAGTAAAATCAGGTTTACTCTAATGGATTAGACAAGATATTCAGCTTTCCAATTGTTTCATTTCTAAGCACATATTCAATTAAGCACTCAGAGATGGACTCTACCACTGAACCTCCAAGAATGGAGCAAACACAAGAAAATATTCAAAATGAACAAAATGCAAAGATAAAGTTGAAAAACAACACTAATGCCACAACAGCTGACCTGCTCTTATAGGCTAATGCTTGTCCATGTTAACAATCATGGATAGATACAAGACCAACATCCAATGCACAGAGCTCACTTGATTCCTTTAAACTTGCTCAATTTATTGAAATGCTGATAATATTTGCTTAATTTTTATTGTCTAGTTGCTTAAATCAGTTTCGCATCATGGAGAATACTTAACATTCATTATGCTAAACAGTGGCAACTACCTAAAAATTGTAATTGAATCAAATTGAAAGTAGAGATCCTGCTACAAAGAAGCATTTGTGTGTTTTCTTTGAAGTTAATTTGGTTTTAAAAAAAAAAAAAACATAATTGAATATTCCAAGATATTTCAGCACATGGATCGTAAAAGTGCTGAGACACTATCCAATAGGGTCAGCACCACCGACTCTCACACCACTAGCACCTGCACAACTGCACCACATAGCAGAGACAGGGACAAATCTTGTGCATTACCATCATCAAACTTGGCACTTCCACCCTTTCCACAAACATATCTAGGTAAACAAAATGTACAGTTTTCAACAAATCTTTCAGCTGGCAATTAAAACAACATTAAGCTTTGTAGTTGACAATTAAAACAAAACCAAGCCTTGTGAATGTTTGTTCCCTGTGTTGCACAAATATGAACATGGAACACAGACTCAATGACATTTAAACATGTCAACGAGGCAAAATCAATTCGAAAAAAAAGAGAGAAGGGCACAATGAGGACACATCTGGATACATAGCTACAAATGGATTTGTACGAGTAAAAGAGATGATCCAAATGAGGCCTAACTAGAAGGGGAGGGATATACCATGTCACATGAATTCTTCTAAATTTGTGAAGTACCCATGTCAAACACTCAACACTTCGGTGAAGGTATGAGATACATCACTGTCATGTAGTGAACATGCATCAAGCAAGAATGTCTACATGTCCAAGTTTACTATATAGCTATACATAAGACTCTAATGTAGACCAAGTGGCTTTGTGATATTTGGCTCAATTGGATCAGAATGTGGCAAAAAGGTAAGTAAGTTCATTCAACATTGATGGATTCGCTCCAAAAGGCCTATGTTTGATGGAAAACGACCCAATAGTCAAGACTCATTGCTTTGTCGTGACCTAAGGTGCTTTTGGGGCGAATTCCACCATTTAGGCCCTCAATTTTACATTTTATCCATTTTAAAATTTTTATTTTTTCAATTACTTATATATAGAAATTTTTTCTTATGGTTGTCGTTTCTAATGACATGTTTCTTTAGGTATCTAGTAAACAAATGTGACCTTAACTTGAATTTTTCATTTTTGGTAATTTTTTCATTTTCTTTATTTTTAGTTTGATTAGCAAGGAATTTATTACTGTGGTTGTTTCCTAGTAGACCTAGGTTTGCATTTACATTGTAAATTCAGTTGGAAGCATCTAGGGTATTCAGTTTTTTGATTGAGATTAATAAATTCAGAGAATAATTCTCTAAGTTATCATTGTTCGTTATTTGCTCTTGTTGCTTTGTTCATTTCATACACCCTTCCCTGCATTAGACTCATTTTTTGCATAAAATGTGTGTTGTTAGTTTGTAAGCTCTGTTATTAGAATCAGTGGGTAATCCATACAGGTTATGTTCGATTCAATGGGTAATCGATACAAACAGGTTATGTGAATCGCCAATAGCTATGAATCGTAGTGAATCGGTGAACCGAATTGGTGAATCATAAATCGATTTGATTTGATTCGATTCGCTAAAATCGATGTTTGACTTTCTTTTTTGGTTTTTTATTGTTGGAAAATGGTTCACACAACCTTTTTAAGGTCTTTAGGATTACTATATGTCATCTTTTGACTTTCTACCTTCTTATTTACACTCAAATACTTAAACCTTAGCGGAAAAAAAATTGAACTTTCTCTCTCTATAACATTCTAGGCTTACATATTCAAATTTATCTAAGTACTTCCATTTATAAAATGAATTTTTTGAAGGCATCAAGTAAATTTTTGAAAAAATTTGAAGATTTTGATTTTTTAACCTTGTAAAAAGTTAAAAACATTGTTGTTTAGTTATTGTTACTTGAAAATTGAAAGTTTGTCTCTGTTTGCTTTCTTTATTAAGAATGGTTGATAAGAAATAGTATCTAAAAGGGAAAAGGTGAAATGGTAAACATGAGAATCCGTGCTAACTTCTTACCCAGACCACATGATCATCATTTAAAATAATATTTTCATTGATTTAAGTCTAAATATTTCATATTTATTAGATATATAATATCTAAGTGTGTAGCTATATTTTTTCATGTAATTTAAAGAAAGTGACCGAATCTTTACGATTCACGATTGGATTCGATTCGGCACAATACCATTTTGATTCACAATTCGAATCCCGATTTGACAACTATGGTAGGCACTGTTTCACCGTAAATAAATTATGGTATTAAAAAAATGAAATTTAGTTGCGTCATAATGTCCAACATCTAAATGTGTGCCCATGTAAAATAAGGGATATATCAAGGCTTCAGTGGGTAAATTGACCCAAGTGTTTAACATTCGGCAAATAAAAGGGTATAATTTTTCCCTTACAAATCTATTCAATATCTAAAACGAAATCAACCTCGTAGAAAAGAAAATATGCATCAATACAAATGCCAACTAAGTGTCTGAGATTTCATTCCAAATACAAAAACATCTAGAATTTGAGGCACATGGGGCTAAGGGTCGTGGACAGGGGTTGGCGTCCTCGCATGAGACCCCACATATATCTGTTTTGTACTAGTGTCCATGCTCATAGAAAGTATAAAAGACTTTTACCCAGGAAGTACTTTTACTTTATGGAAATACAAATTCAATTGTTCAACTTAATCAAAATGTTTGCACTCTCAAACACTAACAGATTAATCTCACTTGTAAAGAAACTATTTGAATTTTCCATCCTTAAATGATTTTGAAGCTTTCATCCTAAGTGATTACAGTTTGCAGATACTGCATGTGGGTGTGTGAGTGCGGATATACGTTCATGTGCATATTCAAAATGATATTTAGTTGTATTCATCAGCAAAGTGGAAATTTATTGGTCACGGGATGAACAGCATAATATGCCGTTGCTAATGATTAGCCACTAATGCATCAAAAAAATGTTCACACAAAATGAAGATTGACATGCTTTCGAAGCATAACATACTTGTTCTTCCACCTTTTAAAGAAAAAAAAAAATGAGGTGCAATTGTGAAGTTTGAATGGGCTGCTGTTCGTCTTGTAAACAGTCATTCAGTGTGAAAAGTGTCCAACCCACTAACCAATCATACAGAGAATTTTTTTACGTACAACGGTGGGCGCAGAGAATCAACTCGTGTTTGCTTAAAAACCATGAGGTGATGAGTAGGTAAAAAATTCCTACCATAAATGGAAAGTAAAATAATGCCCCAAGTAAAAAAGAAAATTTAACAGCCACCACATTTAATAGGATATAACTAGATAGTTCAACATCAACCTTCATATGATTGACTGTACAAATGGTTCCACAAATCATAGCAAGGACGGAGAGAGAAAAAGGGATGAAGAATTTGATGTATTAAATTCATCCTTACTCTGAGCTGATGGCTAGCCCAGTGGGTGGGTTCTTGTATGCCCACTCATGATGCGGGGCTCAACCCCTGGCCCCTACTATCAATGTATCACACGAACACGAACATAATAAGAATGTACTTAACATCAAACTGTCCTTGTTGGGCATAGTGGTCCTAGTAGTTCCACATAAGACCTATAACGACAATTTTGAAATGATCATCCATCATTATTCTAGGTTAGAGTAGATATGCTTGCTCGCTAGAAATGGCAACATAAATTACAGTAAAATCTATCAAACACGTTTGCTTAAATGTTTATAGCAAGTGCATTTAATCAAAACAAACAAACAAGGTAGGCTAAAGTTTCAGAATTGGAAACAAAATTTACTTAATGTAGAGCCAAGATTACTGTAATCTATCTAGAGCTAAAACAAAGTACTAAAAAAAGAAGCAAGCAAAGCAAGTTCGCACAGTAGGGATTCGAAACCTACATCTTCTTACCTCCCTCTCATTGCACATTGGAATCTGCACCATCACCATCGGATAATCGTCCACATTCATAGCTTGCTCGGAATCCTGGGAGTAGTCCATGACGGCAACAGGCTTCAATCTCCGAAATTTAATCCAAAAACATCCAAGCACCAAAACTAGTCGATCCAGTGACTGAACCAAGAACAAAACCACACACACATTGGTCAAACTCTGCAATGCCGGAGCCAGATATTTGGCCCTGATATGGAGCCAATTGGCGTAAACAAGTTGCACAAAATCCACCACCTCCGCGGCGGAGCCCACGGTGGGAGGACTAAAATGCCATCCCTTGAAGTACGCAACGAGCTCCAAGACTAGCAATGCTAGTACAAGGATCAAGAACGCCTTGATTGCGCGGTACAGACGGGATTCGGGGCGGCGAGAGTGCGAATCGGAGACTGTGATCCGGCGGTTAGCGGTACGGAGTAGGGAGATGAATCCATTGGTGAAAAATGCCAAGGAATTCGCGATTTGGTGGAATCGCAAGAGGCAGACCCAAGAGAGCTGACGAGCACTCCGAGTTCGCTCCTTCTCCACCGTCCGATCGGCGGAGGGGCTGCGGATCTCGACGGTTAGCCAGCTAGGGTTTTCGGATTTGTCGAAGTAGTCGTGGTCGTGGTCCTCTCTCTGCTTGTTCCACCATTCTTGAAATTCAGAGTTTGGTGGTCGAGACATAAATATGAATTTCCAGATCTACCAATAATAATTAAATCTGCATATGCTTTCGTTCTCAGTGAACCACCATTGTAGCTTCTTTGTTGTTGTTGTTGTTGTTGTTTTTGTTGTGTTTCTCTCTCTTCGTGATCCGGAGGAGGTGAGAGAGAGAGAGGGGGGTTTGAGAGGTTGTGCTAAATATAGTAAAGAGGTCTGGTGAGAGAGAGTGCCACCAAATTTAGCGGAGGTTTGCTCTTTTATTTTTGTTCATCTCTTTTTTATTGCTTTATTTTAAACATTTTAGCAGAGCTGATGATCATGTGCGACAAAGGTGCAAATGAGTAGTCCTAGGATTATAAAAAAAAAATCATAAAAATGTTCATAAAAAGTTTTTTACTTTTAAATCACATTTATAATAAAATATCACAGGAGCCCACGGTGGGAGGACTAAAATGCCATCCCTTGAAGTACGCAACGAGCTCCAAGACTAGCAATGCTAGTACAAGGATCAAGAACGCCTTGATTGCGCGGTACAGACGGGATTCGGGGCGGCGAGAGTGCGAATCGGAGACTGTGATCCGGCGGTTAGCGGTACGGAGTAGGGAGATGAATCCATTGGTGAAAAATGCCAAGGAATTCGCGATTTGGTGGAATCGCAAGAGGCAGACCCAAGAGAGCTGACGAGCACTCCGAGTTCGCTCCTTCTCCACCGTCCGATCGGCGGAGGGGCTGCGGATCTCGACGGTTAGCCAGCTAGGGTTTTCGGATTTGTCGAAGTAGTCGTGGTCGTGGTCCTCTCTCTGCTTGTTCCACCATTCTTGAAATTCAGAGTTTGGTGGTCGAGACATAAATATGAATTTCCAGATCTACCAATAATAATTAAATCTGCATATGCTTTCGTTCTCAGTGAACCACCATTGTAGCTTCTTTGTTGTTGTTGTTGTTGTTGTTGTTGTTGTGTTTCTCTCTCTTCGTGATCCGGAGGAGGTGAGAGAGAGAGAGAGAGAGAGAGAGGGGTTTGAGAGGTTGTGCTAAATTTAGTAAAGAGGTCTGGTGTGAGAGAGTGCCACCAAATTTAGCGGAGGTTTGCTCTTTTATTTTTGTTCATCTCTTTTTTATTGCTTTATTTTAAACATTTTAGCAGAGCTGATGATCATGTGCGACAAAGGTGCAAATGAGTAGTCCTAGGATTATAAAAAAAAATCATAAAAATATTCATAAAAAGTTTTTTACCTTTAAATCATATTTATAATAAAATATCACATATTAATAATAAAAAAAAAAATTATAATATATTTCATAATATTTCTTTTTTTATGTTTCCTAAGATTATTCTTTGCAATTTCACACGCTTTTGATCTCCACGCTCGCTGCTACCATGATTTCCAGCATGCTTGGAGCGCGTGAATGTGCCAGCGCGTCAGTGTTGGATTATTAGAATGTAACCAGCGACCTCGACCTGGACCAAGACCACTAGATCATTACAAAGTTGAATAAAATTTAGGGTGAATTATAATTACACCCTTAAGTTTGTTTAAAATATAAATTATCTTCTGTAGTTTAAAAAATTATAAATATTTTATTTTTTAAATTTTTTTATTTAACAAAATTAATTAAAAAAAATAAAATTCATAATTACCCTCCTATATAATAATAAAATTACTTAAATTATTAATTGAAACATATTTCGAATATCATTAAAAACTATTAATTGACTTAATGATTTATTAATAAATGAGTGATTTGTTATAAAATTAGAAATCTTAGAGGTAAAATGTAATTTCCAGAACCACAAAGACAATTTGTATTTTAATCAAATCTTAGAGGGTGTATTTATAATTTACCCAAAAATTTAAGTAGAAAATTGATAAAAAAAAAAAGTTTAATTTGATATTCTTCAAAAATTTTGTCATATTTTTTTAATGTTCAAGCAGATGTTTTGGAGGTCGTCCTGATATGAATAAAAAAAATTATCAAATTGCCTTAGGTAGACATCTGGGTGGACATCCGATCCAAGTAACAATTTAAATTTAATGAATGGTCAGACCTCTCTCCATTTAATGAAATATCTGTCTCTCTCTATTTGATATCACTTTGATGAAAACATTGAAATTCATTTTTTAAGATTTTTTCATCAAATTTGAATTTGATAACAGATTTAAGTGAAGGTTAGAGATGGTCTTCGAGTATCTCCAATGCTAATTGTCAAAATAGTATTGCCAAAGTTATAATTTGGCATGCTATAGTAGCAAAATGCCAAATTATAGCAATGGTGTTCCAAATGTGCAATGTCGTTTTGACATATTTCCAACCAACTTTCCCTCATATTTTTTAGGTGGTGTTTGGATATAATATTTTGAGTAATTTTTTTTTTTTTTTTGTCTTTTATGACTTTTTTTTTCTTAAAAAAAATTAAATATTTACAATCTACCACAAATATAAAAAATTTAGAAAATATATATATATATATATATAAAACCACAAATATAAAAAATTTAGAAAATATATATATATAAAATCCACCCCACCATTCATGTCCAACGACTCACAACTACCCTTGCTTTTTCTCTCACTTCATCTTTTTTAGAGAGAACTCTCTGGAACACCAAAGAAACAAGCATCACTGACCCCCCATTCACTCTTTTCGTTGTCAAGCTGTCGTCTCTCTCTTCTCTCTCTCTTCATCATTCTCTCTCATCTTTTCCCCACCACTACCAAATCTTCATCACCACAACCACGCCCCTCTTTCTTTCTTTTTCTCTCCATCTCTGTCTCATACAATCCCAGAACTACGCCCCTCTTTCTTTTTCTTTCTTTTCATCTTCGGTGAAGATCAATCGATAAAGATCGTAGATCACAAAGCATTATTCGATAAAACATAGGGTTTTAGCTTCATCTTCTCCAACCCTCTATTTTATCTCTCTCTAAACTTTAACCCTTGAAATCAAAACTGTGTTTTGTCTTGGATTTGTGTATGAAATAAACCAAAACCCTTGATTGAATCAGGTCGAAACCCTTGAAATCATTTGAAGAAGAAGATGAAACCCTTGAACTGAAACTCAGAGCATCCAAATCAGTTTTTTAAAGAAGATGAAACCGACTCTTCAGAATGTTGAAATCATTTGAACCAACCATCTTCAGATCCAGGTATTTTTTGTTTAAAACTTGCTTCAAATTTCTTGAGATTTGCTAGGTCCCTATATATTGCCAATTCTGCGAATAAACTTGGTTTTGAAAGTTGTAATTTGTCCTCTTTTTTTTTTTTTTTTTTTTTTTTTTCCCTT